AGGGTCTCACTATGCAGCTAGGACTTGTAGTGATTCTCCTGCTTTCAGCCTCCCAAGCGCTGGGATTACAGGCTTACACTACTACTCCTGGACTCTGTGGCAGGCTCAGGCCGCCCTGGGGGCAGGGCTGGTGCGGGCATGTGGTGCCGGGGATTGAACCTTGGTCCCTGCACTTGCCTAAGCTTGCCTAAGCTTGCCTAAGCAGATGCTTTAGTCCGCTGAGCTATCTCGCCAGCCCCAACCACCATATTTCTTTCTTTATTTATTTTTTTTTGGTGAAACTGGGGATTGAACACAGGCCCTTGCGCTTGCCAGGGAAGCGCTTATTCCACTGAGCCATCTCCCCAGCCCCACCATATTTCTTTAAATCAACAAGTTGCAACTACTGAAGCTTCCTATCCCAGTGCCCAGGACTCTACAGACTAAGGATCCCCTTCCCAAAAAGCTTGAAACTAGAAATGTTTCAGGTTTTGCAGCTTTTCAACTTTTAAAATATTTATATAGATTTTCCAAGTTAAGCATTCTAAATCTGAAAATCCAAAATCTGAAATCCAAAATGCTCCTAAATCATATTGCTCAAAAAGTTTCAGATTTTGGACTATTTTGGATTTCAGTTTGGGGATGAGGGCTCTAGTAAAGGCTCAACCTATGCTAAGAAATATGTATCGGGAGTACTTTGGGACATTGTTACACTAGGTATTGCTCCAAAAAGGAGCTCACCGCAAGAGCTGAGCAATCAGGCCTGAGACAGGCAGGGACCAGGGAAATTCCTAGGATTTCTCAAAGGAGTCAAGTTTTTCCAAGATGAGGTTCGGGGTCTACTGTGTAGGTACCGGCTTGCATTTTATTTTCCATCAAACATATTTTGTTTGTTTGTTTTTGCTTTTGTTTTGTATTTAGCAGAGGGTGTTCAGGGTCTCACTACATAGATCAGACTCATACTGATCCTTCTCTTTACAGTCTCCCAAATGCTAGGATTACAGGTGAACGCCACCACGCCCAGTCTCAATAGCTGGCTCAGCACGCCCTGGGGGCAGGGCTGGCACAGCAGGCCTGGGGATGGAACTCCTGGCCCCTGTGTTCGCCTAAGCAGGCGCTTTAATCCACTGAGCTATTTGGCCGGCTCTTTTTCTAATTTTGTTTGTTTGTTTGTCTAAACATATTTTTCAATGATTGTCCTGTAATAGCTAGGCAGTGGAAGCAATCCGAGTACCCAAGGATGGATGAGTGAACAGAAGGTGCTATTGGCCACACAGCGGAGCGTCACTCCGTCCCAAAAAGGAAGGAACTTCGTGCAGCACGGATGAGCACTGAGGGCATTTTGTGAATTGAAATAAATGACTCACAAACAGACAAGTACTGCACTGCCTGGTTCTCCTTACAGGAGAAACTAAGCACTCTGGTTAAATTCCCAGAGACAGAAAGTAGGGGGTAGTTGCTGGGATCTAGGGGACAGGGATGTGGAATTTCCATTTTGTATACAACTTGTGGCAGTTGTACATCACTGTGAATTACTTAATGCTACCGAGCTGTACCTAGAAAAATGGTCATGAGAGTAAACTGAATGTTCTGAGTGTTTTGCCACAATTAGAAAAAAAAAAAAAAAAATGATGAGCATCATTTCATAAAAGAATGTATCTTCACAGCAAAGAATTCATTAAGCATAAAGAACGATCCCACGAATGGAATAAACTTGGCTTCATTTTAGAAAAAGTGTCTTAGATCATTGAAAAGAGAATTTACCAGACTGTTACTACCGTGTGTAGAAACCACTGGGGCTTTGGGAAGCAGAGAGGTTTTCCTGTGGGTGCTGGAGGGGAATCGGTGGGAAGCCCCTCTAGACAGGGGCTTAACTTCAAGCTGTTTTGAAAATAGGCTCCGAGGAGTCAGTGGTTTTGACGCTTTCTGAGGCTGCCCTAGAACACAGTCCCAGGGGTTGGCTCCCCAGCATCAGAACCGTCTCCCACCCTGCTTTATTTTTTTTTTAATTATTTATTTATTTTTATTTATTACATTTATTTATTGTGTGTGTGGCCAGCTCAGCCCACCAGGGGGCGGGCTGGCTGGCATGTGGTGCTGGGGGATCGAACCGCGGTCCCTGTGCTTTGCCAAGCCTGTTTCAAGTAGGTGCTTTAGACCACTGAGCCATCTCTCCAGCCCCCACCCTGCTTTAGTACAGGGTACAGGGGTTGGGGCTTCCCAGAAGCAGGGGTTACTTTCCTGCTCGTGCCATTTTGGGGCATGAGCATATTCCCCGGCCCAGACCTCTGTACTCCCATCAAACTGGAGCTGAATCAAACTGGCCACACAGGAGAGACAGAAAAGAGGCTTAAGAGAAAAGCAGCAGAGCGCAGTCCCTGTCCTTTCTGAGGCCAGCAGCCTACAGGGTGTTTGCAAGTGACACCAACAGGCGTCATCTTATTTCGCCCTCCCATAACCCAGCAGGGTGGCACTATCCCCATGTCACAGATGAGGAACCTGAGACTGCGTGAAGCTCTTCTGGGTCAGTCGGTCTTTCCGTTACTATAATAAAATACCTGAGGCTGTTGGTTAATAAGGAAGTTAGTCTAGCTCGCAGGCCTGGAGGTTCAAGGGCATGGCACTGGCAGTAGCTTGGCTCTGGCGAGAGCCGTATGGCAGACTACACGTGATGGGCTGCTGCACCTGTGCAGGAGGGAGTGTTCTCAGGGTGAGAAGCCCCACCCACCAGAAAGGCCCCGCCCACAGGACATTCCCCCACTAGGCTCCGCCTCTTAAAGGTGTCACCATACTATCTCTTACATAGACGGACGCACTGAGGGCCAAGTTTCTGACACACCTACCCTTGCAAATTATATCCAAACCACAGCACCTTCCTCAGGTACCTGTAGTCAAAGGCAGCCCGTAAGCACAAATGACCTTGAATCATCCTAGGAGTTGAGGTCTGATGATCAGCTTCAGCAAGCCATTGTCACGCCACTCACCGGCCATGCCCCTTGGCAAGTGGGGCCTCCTCTGAACCTTCCCTCATTTGAACATTTGTGAAGCCCGCCTGCTCCACCTGAACGGGCCACAGAGGAAAAACCGATGTGAGGTTACACAGAAAGCAGGTGGACCATACCAGATCATACTGAATCATCACTAATGCTGTTATTTTAGGATTATAGCAACTCATGGTGGTAGTGCCTAAGAAGGAACAAAACTGACAGTTAAGCGTATCAGCCCCTCAAGGTGCACAGAATACTTTAGAAGCAAGTGGACTTAATGTTTGACCCTTTGAAAAATACTTTGACGGGCCAGTGAGATAGCTCAGGACTAAGCACCTGCTTAGGCAAGTGCAGGGACTGGAGGTTCGACCGGCGGCACCACATGCTGCGCCAGCCCTTCCCCTGGGGCATGCTGAGCTGGCCACCGAGATTGGGCGTGGTGGCGCACGCCTGTACTTCTAGTGCTAAGGAGGCTGAAAACAGGAGGATCACTATGAGTCTGGGCTATGTAGGGAGACCCTGTATCAAATACATTAAAAAAAAGAAAAGAGAAGAAAAATATTTTGACGCCAGCAGACTCTCCCTCCCTGCCCCTACCACGGAGAGCAAAGCCAAGCGGGACATGGTGGCAGGTGCAAACCTGTAGTTCAACTCTCTGGGAAGCGAGGGCAGAAGGGTTGCAAGTTCAAAACCAGTCTGGGCAACTTGGAAACTTGAGCGATTCTGTCTCAAAAATGAAAAATAAAGAAAGGACTAGGGAAGTAGTTCAGTGGCCCTGGATTCAATCGGTAGTGTTGGGCGGGGCCACTAGGATAATGGTGGGGAAAAACCCAGCTAAGTGACTTGAGCGCCACCTGGTACCTGGAGATAAGAATGGTGAAATGTACAGGGGAGCCTTGTTTTATTGCAGTGATAGAAACATGAAATGATTCATCAGAGTAGGGAAGTCAGCCAGCCGCATGAGACCTCCCAGAAGGGGCCAGGGTGTAGCCACAGGAAGGGAGAAGGAGCCGCAGACCTGCCTTCCTGTGGTAGAGCGTGATCAGCCAGCAAACAGGTAGGGGCAAATCCCACGGAAGTGGCTGAATCCTGGCAAGGACAACGCAGGTGTCCGGAGCCGTGACCGGAGTGGATTCTTCTCGCTGATTTCACCTTGCTCTAGCTGTTCAAAAAGAACAGTGCTGTACAGATAAACCAGGCATGGGGGCACACTCCTGTGATCCCAGCACTCGGGAAGCTGAGGCAGGAGGAGAAGGCAGGAGCCCAGCCTGGGCAACGTAGTAAGCCCCTTACTAAGAGAGATCAGTACAGCCTGTGTGCTGGCTCCAGTCCTAGCCACATGTTCTAGCTGAGACATCATCCGCAGGTGACTCTCCATCTCAGTACCCTAGTTCTTAGCTCCAAAAGAGATAATCCTATCCCTGCTTCACAGAGTCCTTGGGAAAGGAAATAGTTAAGACACGCAGAGGGTGTGCAGCCAGGACACCAAGGCCTGAGTCATCTCTGTCCCTTGATATGTGCAGGACCTGTGTGTGTTCTTTTACCTTTCCATGCCTCAGTTTCCTCATCTGCAAAATGGGTGTGTGCCCTGTAGAGTTGGCTGTTGCCATCATCGCTGCTGCACAGCAGGGTCTCTGCCTGCCAATAACACAGTAAGGGAGGGGATCAGTTCCATTTTATTGAAGAAAACACTGAGACAGAGAAAACTGTACCAAAGATCCAACAAGTGGAAAAGCTGCGATTCAAACTCAAGGTCGTCTGATAAAAGTCAGGTCTGCTGGTACTGGTGCCCCTGTTAGTTATGTCTCCTCCCCCAAACTGCAGCCCTCGTTTATCAAGTGAAGAGAAGCCACACTCCCTGCAGAGGGCCATGGTGAGGGTATAACAGGATTCGCTGAGTAGAGCCTGGCATGGTGCCTGAGCTCTCAGGTTCCCTCCTTCCTTTGTTGCGCTGGCTGCCTTCCCTCAGCCCACCTTTCTTCCCCTAGCCTTCTTTTGTAAAGAGTGTTGAGGACCTTAAACTTGGGGGAAGGGGGTGAGAGAAAGCCTTCCTTATGCCTCGGGCCATGAGGGAAAGCTTTCATTATGCCTCAGCCCAGTCTCTTACCTGTCAAGGGCACTGAGGCTCAGTGAGGTTAAGGGCCCCACCCAGGGTTACACAGCAGATCAGCAGCAGGTTAAGGAACCAGATACAGAGGTCTGACTCCAAGGTCAGTGCTCCTACTTGGTGGTACTTACCATGCTCTCCCATGAATAGAAAGAGTACCCAAGGCCTGGCCCTTAGTGACAGCTGGCTCTCTGAATGCTTCCTCCAGCCTCATCTTCCTGAAGCCCAACCTGGAGACGCTGGACCTCTTTGACCTGCTGTGGATCGTGGGCATTGCAGACTTTGTACTAAAGTACATCACCATCGCCCTCAAGTGCCTCATTGTGGCCCTGCCCAAGATGATTCTGGCAGTCAAGTCCAAGGTAAGCACTGGTTGCAGCCCCTGGGTCTGTAGGATTTGACTCTGTTGCTTCCAGTAGTTATTTTGTAAAGGGCCCTGAGGTTCACAAGGAAATGGCTCTGAGATTGATTGGTGATGTCTGTCAGGGGCACAGAATGGAGAAAAGGTAGCAGCATGCTCTGCACATGCCCTAGGGAAGACCTACAGGCAGGTATTGGAATGGAGAGGAACTCAGGACTAAGTGAATGGAAAATCCCAACTACGGGATGTGCTTCTGTAAGGCATAATGAGGTATCATGAGGTGGGATCTACATCTGACGTTTATTTAGGTCTCCTATAAACATAGCTTGAAAATAACTTTGCACAGCGGTCTTAGTACACCTGTTTTTCACTCTGATTGTCCTGAGGTTGAGTATGGAATTTTTCTCTTCTGTCACATGCTGGAGCTCACAAAATTTCAGATTTTGGATTTTGGACTTTTTTTAGGTTAGGAATGCATGGTCCTGCCTTTGTATTATTTAATCATCATGACTTCTGGCTCTGTACTGGCTGACTGTGCAAGCTTGTGCAAGTCCCCTGGCCTCTCTGTGCCTCAGTTGCCATCTCTGTAAGGTGGGAGCACTAACAAGCGGACACCTTCCACTTGTCTGTCCACATACGCCGACCTTCCTTCTCTCCCTGCTGTCTAGCCAGAGGGCTTCCCTGTGTGAATTTTGTCAATGGCCTTCCATGCCCAAGTGGCTTCCAGGTGGCTTCAGCCAATGGTAAGCCCAGGAGGAGAAAAAGGCAGAGATATTATCATTCCCCTGGCACATGTGTCTCCTATGGCTGGTGGGACAAATGCCACAGATTCAACGGCTTAAAGCAACGTGAGCTGATTTTCTTACGGTCCTGGAGGTCAGAAGTCCAGCATGCATCTCAGCGGGGTTGGGGATGGGGGTGGGGCAAGAGCAAGACACAGGCAGGGCTGCACACCCTCCCGCATCCACAGACTCAGCCACAGCAGGTTCATCGTTGGCTTCTCCCCCGCTGACTCCACCTCCTCTGTCACACCTCCTTCTCTGACTCTGGCCTTCCTGCCTTCCTTTTATGAGTAACTATGATGACACTGGGCCACCTGGATGAACCAGACAACCCCCCATCCCTGGGTCCTTGACGTAATCGGAATGACAGAGTCCCCTTTAACTTGGAGGCAGACATGTTCACAGGGGCAGGATTCCTGGTGGCAGGGGAGGGAGCTGTTCTGCTCAGCACGCCTGGCCTTTTGGTCCTGGATAACCACAGCCCCGTGCTGATCGCCATGCGCTGGTTACCCCGTCAACTCTGTGTACCACGCCCGTGAATCGGCACTGCTACAGGCTTCCTGTCATCACAGCAGCTTCTCAAAGCCACACTCTGCCCTCACGCCAGACCACCCCTTGTTGGCTTCTCAGACTCAGCAAAACATTTGTGAATAGCACGGGTATTGAACTCTTCTCAGTTACCCAGATTTTGTGGACTAGGTCTCTGGGCACCTGGCCTTGAGACTTACCTGGTGGGGCTGGGGTTTTGGGGACTTTTTTTTTTTTTTTGGTACCAGGGATCAAACACAGGGCCTTGTGCCTGCCAGGCTGGTGCTTTAGCCGCTGAGCTACCTCCCCAGCCCTGATGGGGCTGTTTTGAGGCTACAGGATTTATGAGTATTCTGAGCTGGCCCGGCTCATGCAAAGGCTCAATATTGTGCGCTACCTCATGGCCATTTTAGTCACTGCTGTGTCCGTCGCTCCTCCTTCTCTGCGGTCACTACCCTATCCGAGAGGGATCCCCCGGCCTCAGTGTCTTCACTGATAAAAAGACAACATAATGATACACAGTGGGCGATTTCCAGAAATGCACGTGGGACCTACTCTTAAACTGGGGCCCCCCCTCACTGTTCTGGGTCTCTAATTGCAGCCCCTCCGTACACCCTCCACTCAGGTCAACAACCCAGACATGAATCTGCGCTCTTCCTCTCTCTTCCTTCTCTGTGCCTTGCAGTCAGCAGCCAAGTTCTGTTCGCACTGCCTCCTGGATGACCTGGAGTCCACACTCGTCCTGCACAGCCGTGGCCACCACTCTAGTCCTTGCCACCGTGAGAGCAAGGCAGACTCTGTGTGCTCTGTCACTTCGTCCCCACTCTCTACTCTGCAGCTCGAGCAGCCTTTTAAAAACAACCAATCTGTGGCACGCACGGTGGTACACACCTATAATACTAGCACTCTGGAAGGCTGAGGCATGAGGATTGCAAGTTCAGGTGACTTAGTGAGTCACTTGAACAATTTAGTGACTTAGTGAGACTCTGTCTTAAATTTAAACAAATTTAAAAGAGAGATCGGGGGTGTAACCCAGTGCAAAAGCCATGGGCTCAATCCCCAGGACCACAAAATA